TTATATTCTATTGTCTGTATATATATATATTACTTATATATACAGTAATATGTATTGTGTGTATTGACATATAAATAATATTATCAATATTCACCTTGGTTTAAAGGAGCTAAGTCGCTAATATTTGGGACCTAGAAATTGACACAAATGGGTCGCAACGCATACAATAATGTAATATGAATGTATATAAATTGATTTACATTCAATCGTTTCTGTTTTTACTGTAATTTCTAATCAGTTAGGTTCAGCGAAATACCCAGTATTCTCAATCGAATTTCAATCTCTAGCGTCTGGTTTTTTCAGTCTATGCCGATAGTATTTATTGGGCATGCTCTCCAGATAAGAATATAGCGTCACAGTTTGACAGGACTTGTAGAATACATGTATGCCTAGCCTCGTTTTTCGAGTCCCTTATTACGAATAGCGCTGAAATGCATTATGGTACACGATTCGTGTACCAATTGTAAAATGTTTATTTTGTCTTAAATATTGGATATCAGAAGGCCATCTTTCCCCGGTAAGATCACAACATCAATGTTGATTTAAACCGACAAATAAATCATGTTTTCAATGTCGAAGATTTTGGACGATATTGAGTTAAAGACTTAGCTACTTTAAATGTGTATTGACATTTAAATAGTAATATCAATCTTATTCGCCTTGGTTAGTCTAATTGGATTCATTGATTTTTCTTACGTAAAGTATAAATTTATATAACACACAGAGAATTGATATGAAATGAAATTGAATGGGATTTAAAGGACCTAAATCGCTAATATTTGGGACCTAGAAATGGACACAAATGGAAATGAAATGAAATGGGGTTCAACGGGCATACGCCATACAGTGTGCTATGAGGGAAATTTTGCCCGGGCAGCGGCACTATCGCCTACTCTTATATCGAATTCCAACTGCCAAGAGATCTTTTACGTGCATGCCAATGTATACACGGGACCTACATGTAGGCGTTTTGTCTCATCCGAAGGACTAGACAGCTGTTCTTGTCAGGTCATATTTAAACATGTCAGGCCCTCCGTCCTGCATCACTGACAAGGGGGAACCACGCCAGAAAATCTGGATGAACTTTCTCGGACAATGCAGGGATCAAACAGCCGACCTCCAGACTAGCGAGCCAGCGTCTTACCCATGTGATCCCCTGACACAAATGGGTTGCAATGTATATAGTAATGTAATATGAATGTATATAAACTGATCTACATTCAATCGTTTCCGTTTTTACTGCAATTTCTTATCAGTTATGTTCGGCGAAATACTGGTACAAATTGAATGGCAGTCTTTGATATCTCGTTATTCTAGTCTATACCAGTAGTACATGTATTCTTGTGTAGGATATGTTTAGCCTCGTTTATGAAGTCACTTCATTACAAATAGCATCCAAAAGTATTCTGGCACATGATTCATGTGCCAAATTTCAAATGTTCATTTTGTCTTCAATCTTAGATATCAAAAGCCCATCTTTTCACGGTAAGAAGATAACAACATCAATGTTGATTTAAATTGACCAATAAGTTATATAATTTGCATGTACTGTACATGTACATATGATATGGTTCATTTCATACCTTTATCTGTCACTCAAAAACAATCATAAAATCTTTACATATCTGTCAACTAAACCTGTATTTTTATATAACGTGTCTCACTGGGTATCATGTAATCTTGTGTATCTAACATTAATTTCTTTTGGGGATCACGGTGGCTAAGTGGGTAAGACGCTAGCTCGCTAGCCTGGAGGTCGGATGTTCGATCCCTGCACTGGCCGAGAAAGTTCATCCAGATTTTCCGGCGTGGTTCTCCCTTGTCAGTGATGCAGGACGTAGGGGCTGACAAAGAAAGCTGTCTAGTCGTTCGGATGGGACGAAAAACCGAGGTCCCGTGTACACATTGGCGTGCACGTAAAAGATCCCTTGGCAGTTGGAATTCGATATAAGAGTAGGCCGTAGTGCCACTGTCCAGGCAAAATTTCCCTCATAGCACACTGTATGGCGTATGCCCGTCTTCATTAGCCCAGGTTAGGAGCAGAAAAGTAGGACGTTAAACTCAATTTCATTTCACATTAATTTCTTTCACAGTTTCACATTTGTTTAATATCAAATCTTTGTACGGTATAAAAATCGTTTAAAATCACCCCAAATCATCTGATTTGGACCTGTGTCCTGTTTAAAGCTGACTGATTAATTTTGATAATGAGTGTCCAATTTACAAGTATTTAATTACCTGACCACTGTTCAAAAATTAATCATTATACATCATTAATTTATATATAATCAATAAGGTTGTTTATTTTTTAACAACAGCGATCAAGAAATTATACGTTTGTAAATTGGACACTCATTATCAAAATTGAATGGTCAGCTACAAATTACATGATTTTTGGTGATTATGAACGATTATTTTTACGAATTTTTAAACAAAGATTTCATATTAAATGAATGTGAAAGAAATTAGTGCTAGATGCACAAGATTAAATGATACCTGGGTTACAGTGAGCTAATACCAAGATTTCACAGATATTAGAGAGAGAGAGAGAGAAATGGGGTTTAACGTCCACTCGACACAAACTAGGTCATTTCGGGACTAACATATGGTTTAATTTTATTTCAATAATTCGCTTGTGCAGGAGGAAACCGGAGGACCCGGAGAAAACCCACGAGGTTGGACAGGCGACCCTACTCCTGGTCACGTACAACCAGGGATTCGAAACCACACCAGTTGGCTCAATGACAGGCCTTATGATATAGCGCGCACATGCTAACCATTCGGCCATTTAACACCCCTCACAGATATTAATGTACCGGTATGATTTTATTGTTGATGTTTCCGTTAACAGCAACCCAGTTTTTATGATCCCCACTGTATTTTTAGGACCCTTTATTGACCCTTGATCCAAACATGACACATGTCATACGTAGACCTTAGTGTGAGGAAACTGATGTTTTATTTTATAAATAACTTCCTTTAAAGGTTGAGCTTTATAAAAAAAGAGAAATGGGATTTAATGAAATACAAATTATTTGTCAATTTAAATCAAATGTTGTGATCTTACCGGGAAAAGATGGACTTCTGATATCCAATATTTAAGACAAAATAAACATTCTACGATTGGTACACGAATTGTGTAGCATAATACGTTTCAGCGCCATTTGTAAGAAGGGACTCGTAGAATGAGGCTAGACATATTATTCCACAAACGGTGACCTCATATTCTTAACTGGAGAGCATGCTCAATAAAAACTATAGGTATAGACTGAAATAACCAGACGCTAGAGATTGCCATTTGATCGAGACTTCTGGTCTGGCGTATTTCGCCGAACATAACAGAAACGATTGAATTGAATGTAAATCAGTTTATATACATTCATATTACATTATTATATGCATTGCGACACATTTGTGTCAATTTTTAGGTCCCAAATATTAGCGATTTAGCTCCTTTAACATCTTGTGAAAACAATACTTCTGTCATTTACAGACAAACATATACAGTATGGTAATTTTTACGGACAAAAATTTTGAACGATAGCAGTGATTCCTCTTCATCAAATTTTAACTTCAAGGGTTGTAATACTTAAACTTGGAAGAGATAAATTTGCCTATCGCAGGTCTTTCTTTAGGCCTAAAATGTTATAAATTATCAATTAGACATTAATCAACTTACCAAGACCATAATCAACTCTCGATGCCATCGGGCGACTCCGATATTTAGTAAATATAAATATGATTTGCGGTTGATGCGGTTACTATAAAAACGGATAATCAAGACTTTGTGTATTACCGTAACAACAGTAGCAATGACAATTAGGCTATAATTGTATCACGGATAACTAGACTCAGAGTGAAGTAATGTGGCTGAAATTTTCAACACATTCACTTTTCATTATTTATTTTTTAACTATTATATAGGAAGAACTGTCAGCCCTTTATCTAATCTTACTTTATGCTAATTAAGAACACATATTTGGGTGGACCTGTTTTCGTGGGATGAATAAATGATTGAATGAATGAATAAATGATTGAATAAATGAATAAATAAATGAATAAATAAATGAATAAATAAATAAAATATTATAGTTCCTGTCACAGAATTGTGGATTCAACGTCACACCTGTGATCTGTAGTACAACCTAGTTACAGTATAAACTTATTTGTATGTGGTGTGATAACTTTTTCCCTATATCAATTTTCACACATCAATTATGAAAATACCAGTGTCGAATTTTAACACAATGCTATTTAGTTATTATGACAGCTTAACAACATACCAATTGCGACCTCTCTACAAACCTTTAACACCTTTGATCAGATTCTTAATATAATATAATGAGCCAACTTACATGTACTAAGTTACTGTGTAATTAATTCACACTCTTAATCTTATACCTATGAATTATCAATTATAGACTAAGCCAAGAAAAGTACATATCTATTGCACATCTCAAAGCAAAATATCATGACTATGAGTCTATGAGGTCTATTTTTGTTTATGGTCTATTTTTAGATCACGATACTTGCTCGCACAGCAAATCACTACTCAGTGACTGACTGCACAGAATAATCCAATGAATGTTGTACGTCAAAAAAGCCTCTCCCTTGACGACTGTTCCTATCAAAATGAATCACGGTTTTTCCCCTGGTAGCTCAAAGTCATTTAAATCATGGCGTTTCATAACACGCATTACCAATGCACGTTTTCATATACCTTAGAAATAAGCAATACCGTTTTCTAATACATTTTTAAAAGAATCAATAAATGCGTGACAAACAATATAACCATATTTGTCAATGACGATTGGGAGTAACGGAGAATGAAACACTTCGACGATCGCTTCAAAATATTACTCGCAAACGGTTGATAAAATGCCGTAAGCTATGTACACGGACCAAGCAATAGCCAGAATATGAAATGCACTTAAATCAATTAATTTTGCCCAAATTAAAAGTAGTATTTTATTTGTAAAAGTTCAATTATTTTCACTGACCTGCTTTCCAATGAAATCCAGCTCAACGGAAGTATGAAAACAGCTCCACCTTTACAGAAGAGTAGATAAATACATGGATTCAGACCACTCTGCGCTTTGGCCTTCAACATTCCGATGACCCACAAAGAAATGAAATGAAATGGGTTTTTACGTCCTAATGTTCTGACTCAACTGAGCTAATGAAAACGGGTATGACGCCATACAGTGTGCTATAAAGAACATTTTGTCCGGACAGCAGCACTACGACATACTCTTATATCGAATTCCAACTGTCAAGGGATCACACGGGGGCCTCCGTTTTTTGTCCTATCTGAACAACTATACTTTGTTCCTTGTCAGGCCATCTTTCCTGCACGACCGAAAAGGGGGGACCACGCCGGAAAATCCCCATGAACTTTCTTAGCCAATACAGGGATCAAACACGAAACCTTCGGGTTAGCGAGCCAACGTCTTACTCACTGAGCCACCGTGGTCCCCAACAACTACAAAGACAAAGAGTATGGTCGCCTGTCCCACCTCGTGAGCTTTCTCCGGGTCCTCTGGTTTTCTCCCACTGCTAGAGGCTCCTTACGTGCAAGCAACTTATTGAAATAAAATTGAACCATATGTTAGCCGTGAAATGACATAGTTTGTGTCGAATGGACGTTAAATCCCCCGCCCCCCTCTCTCTATCTCTCTCTCTCTCTCTCTCTCTCTCGATATTAAGCCCTGAAATGACCTGGTTTGTGTCGAGTAGACTTTAACATCCGTGTCGTACTAGGAACAATATTAAAATTATGACGTTTAATCTAGATAAGATAACATGAAACTAAGTTACTTCCTGTACAACGTGTCAGCAACCCGGTTGGCTTGGTGTATCGTAAAGGCGAGTATTCGGGACAGACGGTCTGACAATGACAGCTGTCTAGTCGTTCTGATGGAACGAACGACATTGGCGTGCAACTGGAATTCAATTTAAGAGTAGGCTGTAGCGCCGATACCCGGGCAAAATGTCCCCCACAGCACACTGTATGGCGTATGCCCATCTTCATTACGGACGCTAAACGCCATTTCCTTTCATTACTTAATGATGAACCACGTTTATTTGGACGACAAGCCGAGGTATAGTTTACACGTTTTTGTTTACGTAAAAGAACTCTTGACCGTTGGAATAGGAGATAACGCCGCTGCCCAGACAAAATTCTCCCTTAGAACACTACAATCCCGTCTTCATTAAACTCGGTTGGTACAACCAAATTAATCGTGATGGTTCAGGTACAGAACGAAGGGTATCTGGCCCCGAGTTCACAAAATTCTCCCTTAGAACACTACAATCCCGTCTTCATTAAACTCGGTTGGTACAACCAAATTAATCGTGATGGTTCAGGTACAGAACGGAGGGTATCTGGCTCGGCGTTCACAAAGCATTCTCAGACTTAAGAATTTACTCAAAATTGTTCGCCTTATATTAACTAAAATATAGCCCCTTTATAAAACTTTTGTTGTTTTAATGTATCAAATACATCAATAAGAAACTATGTGCAAAGTTTTGTGTTTCTGGATCAAAGATATTTCACATAAACAGTGATTGAAAGTTGAGTAAATTCTTAACTTAAGTCTGAGAATACTTTGTGAACTAGGGGCCTGGTCTTTCGGGTGAGACGAAAAAACGAGGTCTCGCGTTGCAATTCGGGGAGGAGTAAGCGGAAACGCCGGTGTCAAAAGAAATATTCTCTTGTAGTATACTGCATGACGTATGTATACTCAGTAGCTGGGTTACTGTAGAAACTGTAGAAATATTGGACGTTAAACACCATTTCATTTCATTTCATTACCTAGTATTATACTAGACATGTATTTTATATTATTACTGAGGGTGGTGGTGGGGGGGGGCGATTCAGAGAGTGTGACTTCTGCGTACTAACCGTGATCTTGAAAATGTGTTTATCTATACAGTGTGGTAAAGAGAACTAATTTTCCGGAAATCGGCGTTTCCGCCAACGCTTTGAATTCCACCTAGGAAAACACGAGAAAGCTCGGATTAACCTAATGGGGGTGGGATGGCCGAATGGTTAACGGTTGTATCATAAGGTCTGTCATTGAGCCTGGTGTGGTTTCGATTCAACGGTTGTACATGACAAGGAGTAAGGTCGCCTGTCCAACCTCGTGAGTTTTCTCCCACTGCTAAAGACCCAAACGCGCAAGCGAATTATTGAAATATAATTGAACCATATGTTAGTCCCGAAATGACCTAGTTTGTGTCGAGTGGACGTTACCCCCCCCCCCCTCTCTCTCTCTCTCCCCCCCCTCTCTCTCTCTCTCTCTCTGGATCACGTGGCTAAGTGGGTAAGAGGCTGGCTCGCTAGCCTGGAGGTCGGGTGTTCGATCCTTGCATTGGCCGAGAAAGTTCGTGTTTTCCCCTTGTCAGTGATGCAGGAAGGAGGGCCTGACAAGGACAGCTGTCTAGTCGTTCGGAAGGGACGGAAACCGAGGTCCCGTTTACATATCGGCGTGCACGTAAAATATCCCTTGGTAGTTGGAATTAGATACAAGAGTATAGCCGTAGCGTCGCAAATTTTCCCTCATAGCACACTGTATGACGTATGCCCGTCTTCATTAGTACATTTACCATGTATACAAATCTATTTCGCCTCCTGTCTAGAAGAACAGTTTAGGAGCAGAACAGTAGGACGTTAAACCCCATTTCATATTATCTCTCTCTCTCTCTCTCTCTCTCTCTCTCTCTCTCTCTCTCTCTCTCTCTCTCTCTTTTATATTATTTATATTACTCTCCTTGTATCGCGATCTTCTACGGTGCCGAATACACGAAAGTGACACGTAAGTATCACAATCGCGTTCCTAACATTTCCCTCGTAAACTGCCCATATGGCGGATTGTGAGCTAGCTAGGCTTAAAGGCTAGCTCACAATCCTCCATAAGAGTTTTGACACGCACGGTTCTTAGGGCCTGGTAGCTCGCAGACCAGCTCCAAGAAACCCCGCGAAAATGTTGTATGTGCAGGACCGACCAAACGTCTCTACGGTCAGCATTGATCTTCTACGGTGCCGAACATACGCTCGTGGCGCGTAAGACTCACGGACGGGTTTACTAAAATTCCACCCATAGACTGCCCGTAGTAACACGCGCGGTGGGTTGTGAGCTAGGCTTAAGCTGGCAACTTGATAAGCAGTTGTGATCGGTCGCTACAGAAAAAAACCCCTCACGGCTGTTCTCATGAATGGACCAGGAAGTGACTATACCTTGGGAAATGCCTATAGAACTTGTTTCCCAAGATCACAAGAAGATTGGAGCTTGTACTATGAGAACGCTATTCGATTAGACTAGTGTAGGCACCAGGGGGTAGCAGTTTATTTCCGTGGTGAAGATCGTTCTGCCGACTATCCGACGAATAATTTGCTAGAACCAATGAGATGTGGTCTGTATCCATATCCGCTGTCATTTTAAAAGAGTTATTTCCCTTTAAATAGCGCGGCCAACCTGCAGGATGTATTTAACGCACCAGTAAAAATTTTTGTTAGATTATTTTTACTATCTATTACGTACTGTGTCTGCTCAAGTTTTACCAGAAAAAAAGACGTTGTCCTTATGGTGTGTGTGTGATGATTGGTGGATAAAACGGCCATCGAGCAAATGCCTCAACTCCACAAAATTGCTTTATTACCATTTTCTCATGGCAATCATTCGATCCCCCGCGTTGACCGAGAAAGCTTATCGGGATTTTCCAGTATGGTTCCTCAATGTCAGTGGTTGTTGACGATGTTGGCAACTGGTGTTCATAGAAATGAAATGAAATGAAATGGAGTTTAACGTCCTACTGTTCTGCTCCTAACCTGGGCTAATGAAGACGGGCATACGCCATACAGTATGCTATGAGGGAAATTTTGCCCGGACAGCGGCACTACGGCCTACTCTTATATCGAATTCCAACTGCCAAGGGATCTTTTACGTGCACGCCAATGTGTACACGGGACCTCGGTTTTTCGTCCCATCCGAACGACTAGGCAGCTTAGCTTGTCAGCACCTCCGTCCTGCATCACTGACAAGGGAGAACCACGCCGGAAAATCTGGATGAACTTTCTCGGCCAATGCAGGGATCGAACACCCGACCTCCAGGCTAGCGAGCTAGCGTCTTACCCACTTAGCGGTGTTCATAGAGGCTTATTGGGACATTCTGAGATGGTGTTTAATAATTTACTTCCACAAGAAACATATTTGAGACAGAAATAAGCTGTAAGGTTTGTACAATTAAGTTTCCTGATATTAGAGATTTTCTTCTTCCAATTATCTATTGCTAGGCTCATCCCAGATGTGACAGCATTAATAGAGGGAGAAGTTATCTTAGAAGAACGTCGGCATTGTCCATAATCTGATATTAAAATATAAAGCCTGGCGCACACTATGCGACAATTTAAGAGACGAGTCTGGCGACAAATATCGCCTCAATATAAGTGGATTGAGCACACTACACGACGACTTTGGCGATCACGGAAAAAACACCTGTAAATTCATTTTAGTCGTCATCGCGTTGAATACTTTAATTAATATTGTTTTGTACATGATGATCAGGATGATTAGTATTATAAGTAACTAGCTCAAATTGGGCGACTCTTGCATGTATAGAAAAACAAGCTACGTGAGGATGAGTCTAGAAATATTCCAGAGAATCCTAAATATAATCAATCCTCTCATTGCCAAACAACCAACCAAGATGAGACAATCAATAAGCCCTGGTGGGCGATCGACGGTCACTCTCCGTTTTCTCGCTACAGGTACTGGAAAAATAACGCGAAAAAACATAAATGAGAAACATTCATCCTTAGCTTGCAAATAAACCTTTGTCATCAAACCCACGTTTGTCACGGTTCTCGAATTTAATTTGCAGAAGGAAAAGGGTTAATATTTCTAGCTAATTAACCCGCATCGATGCCACCCCTTTCAGAAAAGAATTTTCATTTTTACGCTTGAACTTCTTCCCTTTACCGCAGGCCTATTAAATAGACACGGTAAAAGATATAAGCTAAGGCCCATTGCAGATTTTGTCATACTACATGAGATGTAAATAGGGTTAGGACACGTGATTGTTAATGAGATTATAGGTCAGGGTTAGCTCTGCCGCTCCCCCAAATAATTTTCACTTTTACCTCTGATCTTCTACCCTTTAGATCGAATTTTGAACCCGAAACCCTCCATAGATATACGGTAAAAGATATAAGCTAAGGCCCGTTGCAGATTTCGTCGCACGTCACGAGATGTAATTAGAATTAAGGCACGTGATTGTTGACGAGATTGTAGGGTTAACCCTACCGCTCCCCCAAATTCTTAAACCTAATTCTATTTACATCTCGTGACCTATGATGAAATCTGCAATGGACCTTAGCTTTTAGTCTAACCATAGATTTAGGCCTAAAATAGAATTTGGAATGGCTATATCTCGTTTTAGAAATGAACTGGTAAATACAGGTTGTGAATATGTATATTTATAACAATATACAGCAACATAATAATATACATTTAGTCTATATATAAAATTAAATATTATTACAACAACAACGTTTTCTTCCATAATCAATAATCGTAGAATCGATCATAAATTATCGATTACAATAATCGAAATAATTTTTTACATGCTATTTTATATGTACATGAACCATATATAATATGTATATCTAAAACGATATACGACAATACACGTGATGAGAAAATGAAAACCATTACTGAGTATCCCACCACACGAAATAATCTCTTGTTGTTCGGAATTAGATGGTCCGGGAAGCCATGGTCCCGTGTATATATTAGCGTGCACGTAAAAGAACCTCTGACAGTAAGCGTAAGCCCGTCTTCATTAGCCTAGTTGGTGCGTAAGCCTGTCTTCATTAGCCTAGTTGGTGCGTAAGCCCGTCTTCATTAGCCTAGTTGGTGCGTAAGCCCGTCTTCATTAGCCTAGTTGGTGCGTAAGCCCGTCTTCATTAGCCTAGTTGGTGCGTAAGAGCAGGATGTTAAGCCCCATTTCATTTTATTCATTTCTAATCGAGAGAGAGAGAGAGAGGGAGAAAGAGAGAGAGAGAGGGAGAGAGGGAGAGAGAGATAAATGGGTTTAACGTCCACTCGACACAAACTAGATTATTTCGGGACTAAGATATGGTTTAATTTTATTTCAATAAATTCGCTTGCGCGTAGGGGTCTTTAGCAGTGGGAGGAAACCGGAAGACCCGGAGAAAACCCACGAGGTTGGACAGGCGACCCTACTCCTTGTCACGTACAACTGGGGATTCGAAACCACGCCAGTCGACTCAATGACAGACTTTATGATACAGCGCGCGCACGCTAACCATTCAGCCATCCAACCCCCCCCCCCCACCCCAGTAGATAGAAAGGTACCTGTTGGTAAAATAAATGGACACCCTGATTAAGATCCCAACAAGTCACGCCCCCCCCCCCCCCCTTCCCTTTATATTGTGTTCACAGGCTATAAGACATGGAAGGAAAGGAGTGACGTCTAACGCATTGTCATTACAATATATTGGTCGGAAGAATTTTTCCCGGACAGTGGCGTTTCAAATGGGGGTCTACTCTGCATCGTATTGCAGCGTCAAGGGTTCTTTTACGTGCACCCCATCTTCATTAGCCCAATCCCAGTCCATTTCATTTACGTGTACGCCAACGTATACACAGGCCTATCCATGATAAGTAATAATTCTGATATTTTTCTCGATCCACCTCGTTATTCGAACGTGTCCTGGACATCTGATCTCTGTCTTGACAGATTGGTTTATAAGTATAGTTTAATGGTCGAGTGCGAGACATTAAGTAATATATTGATATCGTACGAGTGCGATAGTACGAGGGCAATACCTATATATTACGCACTGTCTTGCACGAGACCATTAAACAACTTAAAATACAGACACTATCCAGCACGTGCATTTCAATGAAATACGTCACGCGGGTCCAATATTTCAACTAGTAGTATGCTTGGCACATTGCCCGTACCATTATTTGAAATAATGGTACGCCAACATCAAAGGGTGACGTTACATCTGTATTTGAAGTCCATGTAGTATAATAATAAACAATAATCCTTTAAGTGGCATTTAGTAAGTGAATAAAATGGGGTTTAACGTCCTACTGTTTTGCCCCGAACTGGGCTAATGAAGACGGGCATACGCCATACAGTGTGCTATGAGGGAAATTTTGCCCGGGCAGCGGTACTATCGCCTACTCTTATATCGAATTCCAACTGCCTGGGGATCTTTTACGTGCATTCCAATATATACACGGGACCTCGGTTTTTCGTCTCATCCGAAGGACTAGACAGCTGTGCTCGTCATTGTCAAGCCCTCCAACCTCCAGGCTAGCGAGCCAGCATCTTGCCCACTTAGCCACCGTACCCCCCCCCCCACCCCCCATTAAGTGCTATTTAGTAAGTGAATAAAGTCGGACAGTATACTGAACAGTAACGATGGGACGAAAAACCGAGGTCCCTGTCGATACATTGGTATTCACGTAAAAGGAATCTTTGGTATTTCGAACGCGAAAGAAGAGTAGACCGTAGTGCCGCTGCTCGGGCATAATTGTTCCTGTATGCCCGTCTACATTAGCCCAATAGGCAGGCCTGGAAATAACGGTTTTAGCTGTACCTGACAAAATGTCAGGTATCAATGAAATAGTACCTGACATTTTCAACTTAGTGCCTGACATGTATTAATAATATCAATAAAAAATACAAATCAGTGCCGGACAAAATGACAGGCACCAGAGGTTTAGTGCCTGACAAAGCCTGAATCTGTGCCTGACATTGTCTTGACAGGTGCCTTATTTTCAGGATTGCCAATAGGTATAGAAAAGTAGTAACTTGTTAATTGGATTGGCTGTTGAATCAGACTCAAAGGTACCGGTAATATTATGTTGTCGCAAGTGCCACAGGTGTAGAATGCGTTTTACCGAAACATCCGGTTTCCTCCCACTGCTAAAGAACCCCTACACGCAAGCGAATTATTGAAATAAAATTAAACCAAATGTTAGCCCCGAAATGACCTAGTTTGTGTCGAGTGGACGTTAAACCCGATCTCTCTCTCTCTCTCTCTCTCTCTCTCTTTACCGAAATATTTTAGGGGCAAATAGAATCATTAACCGAATAGGCGGACCGAAACAATAAAAAAAAGTATAACAAAGTTTATCCTTGTCAATTATATATGTTCAATTTTTACAAGTTTTATTTCAGTTTAGCTGGGGCGATCGTCATTGAACTGACATTTTCACCGAATAAATACAATTAATCTGATTATAATACAGATCTATATTTCGTTTCGGTTTTTTTATAGTTTCGATGGCCTACACTACATGAAGATCTGACAAGTTGTAGCGATAGGTCGCGTCAGAGGTTATACGAGCAGCTTTTGACCTATGACGTCAGTCATTTGATTAACCAATCAGCTTTGACGTTACTGGTGGATTACCCACAGTTCCGTGCAAAACACGCCTAAAGCTGGCCTATAGACCGTTTCATTGGCTAATCACTTACATCATTCAGAACACGTCAATGATAACATCTCTTCCAGATCCTAGTGTAGTAAAGACAAGTAAAACGAAAGTTTGAACTATAAAAGAACGAAACGAAATAGGATCTGTGTTTTAATCAGATTGAAATAAAATGTTATTAATCCGATAGAATCCCACAAACCGTCACCGAGATATCGCGCATACAATAAATATATTCTTATTTTTATCCAGTTTCACTAATCCTTCTCACGAATTACACTTCTTTTATGAATTGTGTTGTTTTAATTGTTGACGACGTTTGCTGACATATCTCCCAGAACGTTTAGAACGTACATCCGGTCCACGTGACTTCTGCACGTTCCCAGCACCTGCACTAGTTCTATCTTTATTTTTCCACATATATTGGTTATCGTTCAATAACAGGGCGAGTCTTTTGTTATAAGGTTCATAAAAATCTTCTAACATTTTTCGCGTCGATTCGTGCATCGTTCCATACTTCTTATCGCCTTTCCGTCTAGGGTTGGCCACCGGTTGTCCGATTATAAAATCAGCCTCTGCTTTAGTTAAATCTCCTGAAACGAAAGAAAGAACACGAAAATGGTTTAAACACATCAAATTTTGGATTCATATGATTGGCAATACTACACGCTAATGATAATTTTGAATCCCCGGTTGTACGTGACAAGCATTATGGTCGCCTGTCCAACGTCGTGGGTTTTCTCCGGGTCCTCCGGTTTCATCCCACGGCTAAAGACCCCTACGCGTAAACGATTATTGAAATAAAATTAAACCATATGTTAGTCACGAAATGACCTAGTTTGCGTCGAGTGTTCTGCTCCTATATTGGGTTAATGAAGACGGGCATACACCATACAGTGTGCTATGAGGGAAATTTTGCCCGGGCAGCGGCACTATTGCCTGCTGTTATATCGAATTCCAACTGCCAAGGGATCTTTTACGTGCATTCTAATGTATACACGGGACCTCGGCTTTTCGTCTCATCCGAAGGACTAGACCGCTGTTCTTGTCAGGCAATATCTAAACATACATTTAATAAAGAGTTGACCATTTCTCTCCCATTCTCTCATTATGTAAAACTATTGGACGGTGCACTGTCCTTTAAATGGGAGATGAGATAAATACATGTAGCTGACAGTTCTCGCTATAACAGTTAAAAGGAAGATAACGTGAAGAGAATACGCTGAAAATTCCAGTCAAATTGCTTCACTCTGAACCGAGATATAAACAATTAAATTTTAGGCCTAGTCTCGAGAAATACCCTGTCTAAACTAATGGTATACGTTTTTCTTTATTCAGGACATACAGTCATATTTTTGGCACGATAATTGGACAAAATGAAGCCATTTAGCGAAAAGGATGACAGAAAAAAAAGTGAATGGTTTTTATTCAGATATGTTTGTTTTCAAATGAAGCTGTACATTTTATGTGGGCTGATAATTAAATGAAGATGTTGGACTATCCGTTATTTTAATTATTTCACAAGAAACTTGGCAAACATCTTTCTAAATATTTTCACACAGCCATCATTCTAAACAGGAAATGGATCTTTAGAGTTTTTGTTTATTGCCGTTTCACAGAGTGTTGACAAACATATTATAAATATTTCCACAAATACTTTTAAGAGAAAATGTCAAGTGTAATCAGTGTTTTTCAGAAAATCTATAAGCTTTTTAGCTAAGATGAAGAATTTGCGATTACGATTCCGGTGGTTTACATTTTGACAGTTTAGAGGGATAGATCTATTTTTTAAGGCCAACTCAATTTTCGTCAAGGTCGCTGAGATGTGAATAAGACTACGGCACGTGATTGTTGGCGCGATTGTAGGTTTGGATTAGGGCAAGGTCTAGGGTTAGGGTTGAGATTAGCGCTAGTCCTGTTTATATCTCGTGGCCTTTCACCAAACTTGAAGTTGGCCTTATCAAATAGATCTAAACCCGACCCGACCCCAACACAGCCACTTTTAATGAATATGAGAGAGAGAGAGAGAGAGAGAGAGAGAGAGAGAGGGAGGAGAGAGAGAGAGAAATGGGGTTTAACGTCCACTCGACACAAACTAGGTCATTTCGGGACTAATATATTGTTCAATTTTATTTCCATAATTCGCTTGCGCGTAGGGGTAAACCCACGAGGTTGGACAGGCGACCCTACTCTTTGTCACGTACAACCGGGGAATCGAAACCACGCCAGTTAACTCAATGACAGACTTTATGATACAGCGCGCCCGTGCTAACCACTAAGCCATCCAATCCCCCTAAATGAATATGCCCCCGTCGATATTACAGTGGTAGTGGAGATTTTGATGGTTTCGGGGCCAAATTCATAACGCATTTAAATCAATTCGATCAACCCACAGCAAATGTGTTCTTTTTTTTAGCTGATCCCCACCCCAACCCCCTCGTCCCAACAATTACCAGACTCACGCCTGGAAGTTGAAATTACATTATTAACCGAAATAAAATGGGGTTTAGCGTTTTACTGTTCTGCTCTGACTGGGCCATTGAAGACGGGCATACGCCATACAGTGTGCTATGGGGGCAATTTTGCCCGGGCAACGGCACTATGGTCTACTCTTCCAGTTGCAAAGGGATTTTTTACGTGCATGTCAATGTATACACAGGACCTTGTTTTTTGGGTCCCATCCGAACGACTAGACAACTGTCAGGCCCTCAGTCTTGCACCACTGACAAGGGAAACATTATTAACCGATATAAATTATTGTAGAGTCTAATGAAAGAGAACAGTAGCATATTTATTCAGAGGAATTCTTTGATTAGGTTTCAAAACAAATTAACTGGCATTAACCACCCCAAACAAAAGAAAAGTTTATCTTTTAATACAGGATTTCTTATCTTCAAACGTCAGTTAGTTTGCTGATTGACGCAATGGGAGATGGGTTGAGTAGCAGACGATAAACATACCGTACTCGATCTAATAAAAGAGGGGTTCAGCACCCTACTGTTCTACGGTCAGATCTATTTACCAAGGCCACCTACAGATTTTCTCAAGGTCACGAGATTGTTGGTTAGGGTAAGGGTAAGGCTTAAGCCAGTTCATGGGGTAAGATTAGGGTTAGCGGTAGAATTGAATATCTCGTGACCCTGAGAAAAACTGCAGGTGGCCTTAGTGGAAACATGGAAACATACGTTAGCCCCCAAGAACAGAAACCATACAATCTAGTTTTGGACCTACTCTGCATCGAATTCGAAATGTCAAGGGTTTTGTTTTACGCGTTTTCGTCCCATCCTAACGACTAGACACTGTTCCTCGTCAAACTATCCCGTCTTACATCAATGACAAGTGGAATCCACGCTCCAGATCACGAGAAACGTTCTCTGTGGTAATGACAAGGACAGCTGTCTAGTCGTTCGGATGTAACGAAAAACCGAGGTCCCGCGCATACATTGGCGTGCACGTAAAAGATCCCTTGACAGATGGAATTCGATATAAGAGTAGGCCATAGTGCCACTGCCCGGGCAATTTTTTTCTCATAGCACACTGTATGGCGTATACCAGTCTTGACTAGTCCAGTATAGGAGCAGAACAGTAGTACGTTAAACCCCATTTCATTTCATTTCTAAAGTATACTGTATAGGTTATATATTTTAAGGTATACGGTATGGGTTATATTTTTTAAGGTATACGGTATGGCTGTTTTCTACCGCCCACAGTACAAACAACACATCATCGTATTCTCACATAACGACGATGATTAAAACTGTCAGATATAACTGATAATACTTCTTTATCGCCAATTCCTGTTTGTCTTTAAAAACTACTGTTTTCTTTTGACTCATCAGGCGCAACCTATTTTATATGGAGCGGAATTCTCGGCATAATTATAACTGTTAACATAATGTATGCTAGTATGTAGGATTGTTGGATGGCCGAATGGTTAGTACGTGCGCGCTGTATCATAAGGCCTGTCATTGAGTCAACTGGCGTGGTTTCGAATCCCCGGTTGTACGTGACAAGGATTAGGGTCGCCTGTCCAACCTCGTGGGTTTTCTCAGGGTCCTCCGGTTTCCCCCCACTGATAAAGACCCCTACGCGCAAGCGAATTATTGAAATAAAATTAAAGCATATGTTAGTCCCGAAATGACCTACTTTTTGTCGAGTGGACGTTAAACCCCATTTCTCTCTCTCTCTTTTATATCACCCTAGGTTTAGAGTTGGAATAATGTCGTAAATTCCGCTCCATAGTTGTACCCAGTGGTTTCAAGGCGTCTGAATAAATAATGAAACTGAAAATAGCCCACTGCTGTTTCCAACGACGTGGCGGATTTGGGATGAATTCGCAATTAGTCCCTGCAGTCCTACTAGCCCAAAATTGTTTTCAAATTTGACTTACGAAAACAAAATGGCCTTTGTGTTCTAATTCACTAACTATTGCAGCCATCCAATGATATCGATAGGTATTTATTGGTTTCACATGTACATTAGGCCTACATAAATGTTTAAATAATAATTTTAATACGGTTGAAGTCATAAAAAAAGCCCTTTCATAATGCATCTTTAAGAATTGACTTTTAAGACCCCACAGTGTTTCAGAATTACAAAAAGTTCAAAAAATTTTCTCACCAACAAACTGTCAGTCTTTTCTGCACATAAACTTATATTAATTTTGAAACATAAACCTATTTGTCAATCTCGTTACATTTAAATAATAATGTTGAAATCTGGATTTTAAATTAAATTGTTAGTGACAAGGAGTTTCTTCAAAAATATGTGTGTTTGTTTGTTAATAGAACACAATTTTTATGGGAAACATTCACTGGTTTATTCTAAAAGCACGACGTTTCGACAAGTATCCTCTTATCTTATCGTGATAACGATAAGAGGATACTTGTCGAAACGTCGTGCTTTTAGAATAAACCAGTGATTGTTTCCCATAAAAATTGTGTTCTATTAATGTGTTTTCCAATCGCTAAATGCCACTTAAAGATTATGTTTGTTTGTTGTTTTTGGGTTGTAATGTAGCCGCCCTGTTCACTCCTCCTCTCTCTCTCTCTCTCTCTCTCTCTCTCTCTCTCATATTATATCAAGTAGAGCCATATTAAGCTAACTAGCTCCCTCCATTTTCAAGAGGGGGGTTGGATGGCTGAATGGTTAGCGTGCGCGCGCTGTATCATAAAATCTGTCATTGAGTCGACTGGCGTGGTTTCGAATCCCCGGTTGTACGTGACAAGGAGTGATAACGATAAGAGGATACTTGTCGAAACGTCGTGCTTTTAGAATAAACCAGTGATTGTTTCCCATAAAAATTGTGTTCTATTAATGTGTTTTCCAATCGCTAAATGCCACTTAAAGATTATGTTTGTTTGTTGTTTTTGGGTTGTAATGTAGCCGCCCTGTTCACTCCTCCTCTCTCTCTCTCTCTCTCTCTCTCTCTCATATTATATCAAGTAGAGCCATATTAAGCTAACTAGCTCCCTCACGATTTTCGAGAGTGGTTTTTAAAAGGTAGAATTTAAAGCGTTGGAGGAAATGCCGCTTTCTGTAAAATTATTTCTCCATTTTCAAGAGGGGGGTTGGATGGCTGAATGGTTAGCGT